GAGAAGGGAGTTTAATGGCTGAGGGGGTTATAGCGCCGGGATCTAGAGTGGGATTCTGTGGACATTTTCATTTGAGAAGGGAGTTTAATGGCTGAAGGTTAACCCCCTCATTATCTACCTAAGACACAGCTGTGAATCCTCTCACCAGCCTAGTCGTTTTCTCCCAGATGGGCTCTTGTTTGCCAGTGTCCCTCGGTTTAGGGTCTTGGATAGTATATTTCAGCAGGAGTCTGTCTGGGGCATGTAGACTCTAGTAAGACCTTGACTCACTTGGATCTGGCCACTAAGCCTGAGTCAGGACAGCATTCACATGTGGCTAGCCCCATTACTGTTGAGTCCCGTAGCACATCCCAAGCACTTGGTTCATATTTCTCTTGTGAAGTCCTTCATCTAGACCTGTGCTGTCCAATGCAGTATTCACCAGGCACATGTGGCTATTTAAATGAATTTAAAATACATTTCTAGTCCTAGTCACAATTCATGTGCCCAGTAGCCACATGTGGTTAGGTAGCATTTGAATTGGATAGCACAGATTATAGAACATGTCCATGGTCACAGAAAGCTGCACTGGACCCGGCTGTAGCTCCCACCAGTTAATTCCAAACTGGGGGTGGGCTGATGTTGATGTGAAAGAATGCTGGGGCAGCATCCTGCTGATCTATACAGGTGTTTCCAGGAGCCCGTGCTTCGTTCAGACACCAGTAAGTTCATTATCTGCCTTCAGAACCTGGCATAGTACCTGGCTTATTTTAGGTGATGTTCCAAGCAATTATTAAAGCTATATTTCAGTAATCTTCTTATAACTACCTGGTATTTCCAAACTGGAGATTGAGGGAAACTGTAATAACATGCTCAGGATGGGGGTTAGGTGTTGCCATTGCCAAGAAGGAAAGGCCACTATCTCTTCAATGTTAATTATTTTTGGCTGGAAGGAGCTTTCATTACTTTTCCTGCTACCTCCCCCTTTCCAAGCTTCTTAATTGGGCTTTCCTTGACCTGGCCCACATTTCTGGCCTCTGCTTATTCCTCCCCCTTTGGTCAAATCTGATTACAATCAAGCAATCACTGTTCACAGACTTTTGTTCCTACTGGAACCTGCTAATGCCATTCCAGATGTCAAAATCCCAGAACTAATTCAAAGGCCACCCCCTTCCCCTGAACTCCCATGGCCATCTACCTGGGGCAGCTTATTTTTGGTAGTCTTGCCTCCCACACCAGCTGGGCTTCTTGAGGTGGGAGGTGGCAATTTTAAATGTCAACAAAATCTGTGATATTCTCTAGATGGAGAGGTGTCTGAATAATGTGACGAAAGTGATGCTGTGATGACTTCCAAGGCTAGGTCATAAAAGGCAGTTTGGAACAACTAGCTGGTGGCCCTGAGCCACCTCATAAAAAATTCTACCTCTGAAGCTACCCATGTGGTGAGGAAGCCCAAACTAACCCACACACAGGGGCCACCTGAGAGACCCTATAACCACACACAGTGGGAGATGCCTCACCAGCCAGCCTCCTGCTATTCCAGCTGACAACTACAAGTGCAGGACACTCTGAGCTACAACTGTCAAGTCTGAGCCTTTCCCAAATCCTGACCCACAGAAACCACGACATGAAACAATTACTGTTGTTTTAAGCTGTTTAGTTTTGAGGTGGTTACACAGCAGTAGTAATTTGGGATTGTTTCTAATATCTGTATGAGACCCACATGGGGCCTCATAAAAAGAGGGAGTGGGTCTAGGAACTCAGTGAGTGCTCAGTACTTAGTTTCAAACTCCTTTCTTGGGGCTACTTTGCTTTTTTATGCCGAATTTTCAATGTTATATATAACAATGCTTTGTTTTTGTTGTTGTTTTTGAGACAGGGTCTCACTCTGTCACCCAGGCTAGAGTGCAATGACATGATCATGGCTTACTGCAGGCCTCAACCTCCTGGGCTCAGGTGATCCTCCCACCTCAGCCTCCTGAGTAGCTGGGACTAGAGCACTCGCCAGCACGCCTGGCTAATTTTTTTGTATTATTTTGTAGGATTTTGGCATGTTGCCCAGGCTGGTCTTGAACTCTAGGGCTCAAGCAATCTTTCCGCCTCAGCCTCCCAAAGTGCTGGAGCCACTATGCCCAGCCATGCTTTCTATTAATAGACTTTTTGGTTAAGAAAGCAGTGATATTAGAGGCCTTAAGGAAGTTATATAACCTTCAAAATGTAAGCAATGCAACAACTTTAAATCTCTTCTGGGAAGGAAAATGCTTTTGGCTAGTGAGTTACAAACAAAACAAAATACAACAGGATTTCAACAAGGAAATGTATTTTTTCTTTAGAATTTGGCTCAGAACAGTAACATAAAAATATTTACATTAAAATAAATTAACATGCAATTACTTAACCATATGTAATAATTTATGTTGGAATATATTAGCCTTCCCATAAGTTTAATAAAAACTAATATTTGGTTTTAGATTCAATACCATCCTTTCAAGTATTTTGTATGAAACTTGGTAGCAATGCAATTGTCTGATGTACAGAGCACATTTCACCGTAAGAGATTACACCAAAGAACAGATGTCCCTTCATGGAACATCATCTCACCCCAGACTCAGAAACTGAGGAGCCAAGCTTCCTTCCCAGGAATCACCATGGAATGTCTGAACAATAACCAGGCCCTGGAGATTTCTGCAGGGCTGGTAGAGTTTTAGGAACCAGCCAAACTTTTTCACACTAACCCACTAGGAAGGATATAGTTCAAATGTAATGTTGATTCCTTCAGTTTATTTGAACACTGAAACAATATGTTGTAGAAACCTTCATTTTCCCAAAATAAAAATCTGAAAAATATATGCACATGATTTTTTAAATATCTAAAAGTACCCATAAAAACTTGTCACTAGGGCCAGGTGCGACGGCTCACGCCTGTAATCCCAGCACTTTGGGAGGCAGAGGTGGGAGGATCACCGGAGGACAGGAGTTCAAAACCAGCCTGGCCAACGTGGTGAAACCCTGTCTCTACTAAAAATACAAAAAAAAAATCAGCCAGGCGTGGTGCATGCACCTGTAATCCCAGCTACTCAGGAGGCTGAGGCAAGAGAATCACTTGAAGTCGGGGGGCAGAGGTTACATTGAACCACAGAACTCCAGCCTGGGTGACAGAGTGAGACCCCGTCTCAAAAAAATAAAACACCTGTCACTAGACCAAATACTATACTGGTAAAATTTCACAGCAGAGAGGAGTATTTGATTAAATTCAGCTGATAGGGTCAAGGATACATTAAGTCATTTACAAATCAGATATTAGTATTAAAGGTTTTGGTGGCCTAGAGTGAATTAGAGTATGTTAGCATTTTGAAAGTTTTTGAAATGAGAGGTTGTGTGGCTTAGCAGAAAAAGCACAGAGGGACCTGGAATCAAACCCTCTCTCTAGCCGCATAGCTTAAACACACCAAGTGTCAAACACACCAAGTTCTATACAATAAAAATTAAAACACCTACCTCATATGTTGAGAGAATTTAGGATAATGTATATGAAGCACCTAGTTCAGAGCCTGGCACACAGTAGGCACTTAATAAGTGGTGGCAGTTAGTATTTCTTTCAAGTTACAGTTCATAGCCAGAACTTTGGCTTTTGTATTTTGACACCAATGAAAACGTGAATTATGTAGCCAGAATCCTGATTCACGGCTCTGGGCTCTACGTAAAACTCATACAAACACTGCTTTAATAAACACCCTAGGGTGTTACTCAACACAGTAGGAAAGGCTATTGAAGGAAGAAGTGTCTGCTGGTCAGTAGCAAAGATCCTTTTGGGACAGTTAATCTCCTTTTTTAGGCTCTAAGTCCCAGTGGCTTCTCAGCTCTCCTAAGAAGATAAGGACAAGGTCACTAAGGCCACTGTAATTTAGATCCCTGGTCTAAAGTCTCTTGTAAGTTCAGCTAGAGTAGTAACATCTTTCAACAAATGGTATCCAGGATTAGGGGGGATATCTGAGATGTAGGGGTGATATGTCCAATGTCTTGATTGTGATGCTTTCACAGGTATACATATGTCAAGGCTTATCAAATCGTAGGCTTTAAAAAAAAAAAAACAATAAAGCTGTTTAAAAAAAAGCGTACTTAAGCCCTTCCTGGTAAGACTTCCCTCTGTTCCTTGACTGGATCACCTTCTGTGATCTTAGTTTGGGGTTAGAGGAGGAAGGATTTTTTTTGTTTTGAGATGGAGTCTCACTCTGCCACCCAGGCTGGAGTGCAGTGGCATGATCTTGGCTCCCTGCAAGCTCGGCCTCACGGGCTCAAGCAATTCTCCTGCCTCAGCCTCTCGAGTAGCTGGGACTACAGGTGCATGCCACCACGTGGCTAATTTTTGTATTTTAGTAGAGGTGGGGTTTCACCATGTTGGCCAGGCTGGTCTCAAACTCCTAACCTCAGGTGATCCACGTGTCTCAGCCTCCCAAAGTGTTCAGGCATGAGCCACTGTGCCCGACTGGAAGGATTATTATTATTATTTATTATTATTATTATTATTATTTGAGACAGAGTCTTGCTCTGTCACCCAGGCTAGAGTGCAGTGGCACGGTCTCAGTTCACTGCCAGCTCTGCCTCCCAGGTTCATGCCATTCTCCTGCCTCAGCCTCCCAAGTAGCTGGGATTATAGGGGCCCACCATCACGCCCGGCTAATTTTTTGTATTTTTAGTAGAGATGGGGTTTC